TGAGCAGCTCTCCTGGCTCTTTGTAGCCAAAACAATGCATTTTTAGTTTTTTGCACTTTTCTCAGCCCACAGGCCGTTTTAGGGCCTGGGAATCCGGTTATAAATTCGATAGAAAGCTGTCTTTGGTACGACAGCGATCAACAGCTGGCTTCCTCACATCCCAAAAATAGATCCCCTACTCACTTACACAATCAACACTTAAATTTACGTTTTTCACACTGATATGTCGATTTGTCTTTTTATGTTGGCGGTCGGAGCTGTCGGAGGGTCGGAGATTTTATGGTATGGCTGATCATTATTTTATTTGTCTAAAATCAGAAACCTCTATATTGACATATATAACATCATAAAATATTAAACTATATAAAACTATACAGTGATAAAAGAGCCGTAATATTGGATAAAACTGTGACAAGTCTAGGAGCCAAGCTATAAACTTAAACTGTAGGCGCATTATTTACGCTTCTGCCCAGCTGTACAAGGATCAGCACAAACCGCATCAAAGAATGGCACAAAATGCAAAAGTTACACAAAGAGCGTCCCCGACGATGTCGACCCCTGTTAACCCTTTCGTGAACGGGCATTTTTGACCGGGCTATATTAAGCTTTAGAAATCCAAGTCATTACGCCGTCAAAGGGGGCATTTTGTCCACTTTCATAAACTACGGTACTCCAGAAAATCTTTGCAAATCCTTGCAGTTCAAGTAGAAAGGGCGATGACGACTCGTCGTCACGCACACACACACAAATTTTGCCCGGAGTGCTTACTGTGACCCTAACTTAGGGTCGCTATGTACCGTTATGGTTGTTATTTGAAGATTTCAAAAATTCCCTTAAAACCTATTTCACTAAATTCCCAATCGCAAATATCTCGCTTAGGTACGTATGTCGTGCTAAGTTCGATTACCCACAGCCTCTCATTTCTCATTTACAGATTTCCAGTTTGAAGGGGAGATCTCGAGCCAGCCCGGCAGCCAGCCTAGCAGGAAGCCATAAGAAGCGCACGACAACGGGAGTGCATGGCGCCAGCGAAGGGGACCACCAAGATCGGATTCTTATCTGTTGTAGATGCTGAAGGCTGATTATAAGTCGTCAATATGTTGACGGTTTGTATGCGTGGCATATATGCGTTTTCAAGAGCAAAACTACGCGCTGAAACGCCTGACTTAAACTACATGCTAGCCACGCTTGACATTGAACACAACAACGACTCAGACGAGGACTTCGTTGCAGATGAAGAAGAGGAATCGCATTCTTCTGACGGATCGGAAGCAGAAGAGAGGGAAGCGAGTACCAAGCAGCCCGGGAAAATGTCACGTAAGTATTGTATTACGGTATGGTTGGGTTATGTTACGAAAGGTTGCCTTAAAAAAATTCTTTTTGTGATTTGTTGCTTGGGTTTATTAACAGGTCAAACAGTCGAAAGGACGGTGGGATCTACGCTTAGGGCACCAGAAGAGTCTTCAATCAACTCACGACAGCTTGCCCCCTCCCGTCAAGAAACGAAAGCTAATGAATCTGGCCTCTACTTCGGATGGCGGTGAGTGTGGGATATAGTGGAGAGCGATGAAGCTGGAGGGGGTGTTGCATCTTATTTGCTGGTAGACAGCGAGTATCAGCCTTGCAAAAGGAAAAGCAAGCATCTCGAGGAGATAGACTCAATGCTGGAGGGTACCGATGAGATCGAGAACATTGTTCCGCCCTTTAACCGGACGTCTAGCTTGGAGAGCTGGACATCATTCGAGGAACACTTTGCAATGTACAAGAAGAAGTATAATCTTAAGTGTCCGGAGCTCCGTAAAAACTGTGCTTTATAACAGGTATCTTCGATTTGTTATTGGGGTAATTAGAGTGTGTAACAACTAAATATTTTGTGTTAATAGTACAAACGAAGACCAAATGCCGATCTAATTCGAGTGGACACATAGAATTTTTCGCTGCACCCATGGTGTTTCACAAACGTCGCGATCAAAAGGTCATCGCAATCGCCGAATACGGTACAAGAAGTGCAAGGCACGGTTGACTGCAGTTGTTAGGCGGATTGCTATGAACGAGTATGAAACTACAATACAGAACCAGGTAAACACCAGCAAATGCAGATAGTACCTGTTTCGGAGATTAACTTTATTTTCATCCATAGCACCACACACATTCGCATCCTACAACTAATACTCAAGCCGCATCTTACCTTACGACGAAGACACTTCCGCTTGACGATCAGGATCGGGAAGACGTTAAGACGTTGGCAGACGCGCGTGTGTCGTCAACACATATCGCCAATTTTCTGAATGATCGCATCGGTGAGTGAGCGATGGGGATCTTTGTGCTTTTTATTTTGACGATAATGCTTGGCATTTGAGTATGATGCAAGGAGACGCCACAACAAACTCGCAATCTGCTTCGTAGTATCACGGGGCTGATACAGGGGAGGATTGACTGAAAGACATGTTGCATGCTTTCCGCCAGCTTGATGGTAGTGACGTAAAAGTAATTCAAGACCAAATGGACACTACGTGCGGTATCATCATGCAGACGAAGATCCAAAAGATGATGTTTGAGCGGTGGGGCGAGACGTTGGCTATGGACTTCACGCACAACACAAACAACCTTGGGTATCGTTTTGGTGAGTTCGTAGTGCAACTTTGGTTATTGCAACCTTGGCTTGTTATATCAACCTTAATATCTGTAGAGCAATCTTATTAATATTTTAAATGTGTATTCTAATGTCCTGTTGGGAGTTTGGTCGTCACAACAGCCTCAGACCGAGGGTTTCCGGTTGTTGATTTCGTTTGTCTCGATGAGCGGGCCACCACAATATCCACAGTCCTGGCATATTTCATGTCGAGACTGTGATCATCGATAAGGACTTCACGGGGTGGAGGGTACTCGAGCAATTGTTCCCCAAGGCTACAGTCTTACTGTGTCAAATTCACGCCATTACGTACTAGAAAAAGGTGATGAAGCGGCCGGTGTATCGACTTAAGGTATCCCAACAAGAAGAACTTCTGAAGTTGATGGCAAAGTTGCTGTACAGATACGACACTTTTTCAACCGGAAGATTCACGAGTACTAATCTAACGCTATGTCGATTAGCTATTCCAAAACAGCGTATGGAGCCAGATACCTTCTTCTCAAACAATACTACCAGGACAACAACCGTCAAGCATTTTTTTTCGTACTTTGAGAAGAACTGGAATTCGTGCCGTGGTATGTGGTCTAATTTTGCTCGTGGAAAAAATTCACGGCTGGTAACACGACCACGAATAGTATCGAGTCCAACTGGAATCAATTAAAGATGCTCATAGGACTGAAGACAAGAATCGATAAGACCATAGACGGTCCGCTCCAGCCCCAATTTATGATTACGCGGCAGATTGTTTCAGAAATTGGAAAACAACATTCATCGTCGCGAATGCCATAAACCGTCCCTCGGTTTTTAAGAGCAGTGGCAGGCAGGCTGGCGACCAAGTTATTGGCGAGGGTGAAAAAAAGAGTGGGAATGTTTTGTGAATTTGATGGAATCGGCCGTTGCAGATCGAAGCAGTGATACTTCGTCTCTTTGAGCTCCAAGCAAAACTTCTCGTGTCACGATTCGGACTGGACGTGTACCTGTTTGTTCTACAAAAGCAACCGCTTACCGTGCCGTCATCTAATACACGTTACACGCAGAGGGCACGGATCTGATGTGCTTCCTGCCAGTTCGATTCATAACCGATGGAATATGTTCGTGGCGCTGGAAATTAAAGAAGATCTCACATCAGAAGCCGACGCGTTGCAGTCCATTGTGAGAATGGCCAAGTTAAGATCGCCGAAATTAAAGTTGCTGAATGGAAAAGAAGAAGGGATTCGTGAGCCAGACTTTAAGGGCCCCAAGCAAGTAGCGTATGTGCGCTTGCGCCGAAACGAGCGTGCTGACCATGTTATTCTTTCGTCTGGAGAGAAGTATTCATACTCAAAAGCAATGTTGGAGCCGCTGCTACAACACCTGTCCGATTTGTCAAGTTCAAAGTTCTATACAGAACTAAACGCTTAAAGTCGACGATGGACTGCGTCGGACTGGATCCAAGGCAAGAGAACCTGCAACAAACGATGGTACAGATGAGATCGAGGAAGTGAATCCTGAAGCGATGCAATGGAAACTGCAGACCTAATGAATGTTATGGACAAAGAAAGTCCAGAAGACTCAACCTACGGTGATAGCGACAATGAGAGTGTTGCACCGACACAGCCAGCAACGGAAGAACACCAGCAGCCTCTACCTGTGCATCGGGGAAGGGGGGGGGGGTTTCGATTTGTCCGCGATGATAGCAACCACGACGTATCTGCATCTTCAGCGCCAACGGCACCGATTCCCGCCACATCGATTTCTGTGCGTCAGGTTGATGTCATCAATGTTGCAAAGCCAAAGGGCCGAGGTAGCCGCGCCCCTCTACTAAGCGTTTCCAGCAATCTACAATTACTTCGAGTGTTCAGCGTCTAGCTGTACACGAATATCCAAGCAACCTAACGGTGCGGCTTAACGAGTTAGTTGTATAGGCTCGTAACACCGCCAACCTGAAGACTGTCGTTGAAATGATGGATAAGTATCTCGTCCAGTTGGAGGACGCATACCTGCGCTCGAGAGCTATCGAATGCCGATGAGAAGCTATGAGGTCGGTGACGCATGTGCACCCTTTCGTGATCCCAGTAGATCTTACACGACCAATGGAGGCAGCTATCAAAACTGCCAAGGTGGAGCAAAAAGAACTTGATGCACTGGATGACAGGATTCAGCAGCAAGACATCACACTAGATCTCGTGGCATCCATTGATCCCAAGTTCTGGAAGTTTAGCGGGTAAGGTTGACTTTGCGGTCATGGTTGTTGTATGATGTATGGTTGCTGTTGTCAGGTTGCGCTAACGAAACGTGTGCTCATTGTAGTGCTTTTGTGGGGGCGTTGACTACATTCTACGCGGTGAAGTCAAAGACTCGCTCCTGGTTCGAAGACCGTAAGTAGTTAGAGTGCAAATGGCGAAATGTTGACTTAGACGTGGAGCTGTTTGGAATGGAGACTGGAACTAGTGAAATATCTAGTCCCCCAGTACAGGATCGTCACCAAAAGTTGGCAAATGAGATGATTTCGAAGTTCACTTCCAGTTCGTTGATCTCCGAATTTGTGACGTCGTCCGGAAAGGGTCTCATCAGATTTTCCAACATCGTGGGTGGTCTATGCAGAAGGTGGCTGAATGACAGCCCTGTGGATTTCTGTTTAGAAAGAATTGTTGATGATGTGGGACATTGCTTGGTGCTATCAACATTAACACGGAGTGTCGGATGGCCGGCGACACCTAAAGATTCTTTTACCGAAAAACAATTCATAATTCACCCGATGAATTTGAATGGAAACCACTGGAGGGGGGGGGGGGGTATTGTTCGTCTACACTACGATGATGCTACCGAGAAGGTGAACGTACTTGTTTACATGTACGAACCGCTTATTGATAAAAACTATCACAAGAAAATGGAGATGGATTCACCCTCCAAAATGCCCCCGTTGACCACGAAAGGGTTCAAAAGAGCTAACCAGTCTTTCAGCAAAATAAAATATTTTGAATTGTACTACAGTACAGTAAAAAATTCCGATAAAAGTGGGTCCACGAGCGCCGTCGCGACGTCTCCCAGCCGTGTGCTTGAACTTCGCCGATACGTACAGCAACATGGGCAGCGGATTTCCAAATGCTTGTGTTGTGGTGAAGCGCCAGTTGGCTTTTACGAATAAGAAAACTGATTGATGGGAAGTGACCCGATCCAGCCCTGAGACTCGTGGTCGACGACGGTGCGTCAGTGATTACGTCATCATCCGTGAGGATTACGCAATCATCGGAGTGGATCGACATGGTGCAATCATTTGGATACACGATCGACCGACAAGGACGCGATCTACTGATGACACATCATCTGATTTGTACCCACGGTAAGTACCACGCGGCCAGGCTACAGAGGGGATAGAAAGGACAGTATAGGATGGGCAGAAGGTATTGGACTGATAGGACTTAAAGGAATAACAGAGTGGAATTTGTCTCATTTAGAACAAGTGTCTTCGGTCCAAGACTTCTACCAAGGACACGCGTCAATCTCCGGAGTTTGCAGCTTGGCCGGTCGATCGTCTCCACTCTCGCCCCCAACTCCCCCGCTACAGGAAGCGGTCAAGCCTCGCAAGTAAAGGAACAAAGGAACCCCCCGCAAAGGAACAACCACACCCCAAGTCGATCAAGATCGACAACCTACCTGGCGCGTAGCCTGAAGAGTATCCACGCTACGCCACCCCAAACCATCCCGCGTCCCGCCAAGACGAGACCAACCCAGGCCAAGCCTCTCATCGAGTCCACCAGAGGAGTGTAGCCAGCCCCGCCGACGGGTACACAAGGTGAGCCCTCAGCAACCCCACGGTTATCGGAGTACCCCCTCCGTCAGTCGGCAGTCCAGGGCACTGTGTGTCCGAGTGGATCGCAACGCGGTTTTGCGAATCCCACTCCACCACAGTGTCGCCTGGAGGATGCATCCAGTGCTATTCGATGGGTATCTATATCAAGGCAGCTCCCTGATGCCTACTGTGACTTTACCACCGCCCACAAGGACGGCGGCAGCCTGGACGACGCGCTCATGTTCTACTGGAAGCTCTCGGGTTGCGTCCGCAGCTCCCTAACGCCCTCGCCAACTACTTCCACTCGATGGTGTTCATCTGCGACTGACAGTTCTGAAAGCAAGACACGGAGACCCTGCAGCGCTTTGTGTCCCAGCAACTGCGTGCAGGCGACGTCTTGGAGTCCGTCCAGCCGTTCCATGTGCTCGTGTACCCGATGTTGATACAGCGCTTCATGGACATCGTGTGATGGCGCACCGAAGCTCAACGTGAGTCTGGTGGAGCTGCCGCCCATACGCTTCAAGAGCTAGCGTGCGTCCGAGCGTCTACGCAATGGCTTGTGGGATCTGGGCAGCCACCCGCTAGCGCATCTTACGCAGAGTGTGCTAGGCATGCACGTAAAAGGGCATGTACGAGGTTATCTGCTACGCCACGTCTCCTGTCGGCTCGATATGGCGCAAGCAGATCTTCTCGAGTGTCGAGCACTTCTTGAACATCTGCGTGCTGTCGAACGGCGACGGCGCGCAGACCATCAACATCGATGGCATCCACACCCTCGTTATTTTATCAATGGCTACACGAAAGGCGCGCGCAACGATACCTTTGCGCTGCAATTGGTTGTCTACTTGGCCGATCTGTTCCTGGACATACCCGAGTGCAACACAAACACGCACGGATATGACACCTTATGGGGCGGAACTCCAAATGGTGGTGATGCCGAACGATTGCATGACCACGCGCGTGGCTTCTGTTACGCGCCACCAACAGGAGTGAGCTGGTCACAAATTAGCTAGAGGAGTACGAGGAGCGCGCGGTGCCGCTGGCCAGCGACACGGATTGACTTTGGAATCTGCGACGGCGACTGGAGGACGAGCGTTTGCCACCATCGCTCACGGCTGGTAGAATTGGAAGCGCTGTGCTGGCATCGAGGCACCGCTAACAATGCCCTTCCACACGTACAAGGTGCGGAGCCAGTATCGGATGCACGTGTATCGTAGTAACACATTGGTTACTCTAGTTTATTGTACCTTTCGTGTAATCCACAGTTCGAGGCCGATGGTGTTTCTTGTAGGCGAAATTATCGTGACGACTTCCGTATTATGCGTTGTGTGTGATTCGTTCACCATGTATTTGCGGAAGTTCGCCTACCGGCGCAGTTCAATCTAATCACCATGACGGTTAATGCATTGATAGTCGATTTCCGGGTCACCGATGTCGCTGCAGCGTGAAAGATTTCAGAAGGATGCTCGTGCTTACAGCGCTTCAACTCGGGCACCCCCAGACACCGCTGCAAGCTTACGTCAATAGCACCATGGCGTGATATACTGAATTTGAAGGCCACTGTTCTTGGTCATTCAGTTGCTAAGAATATCTGGATCTTCCTACGGAGCCTTCGGATCTTTCGGATGAAACGAGATCAATCCGCTGCTCCAGGCAACGCTTAGCAGTTGCCCGTTTGAAGTTCGAAGCGAATGCCAGCTTCCGGCGTACGCCTGCGTTTAAAAGTCTACGCAAAAACCAACTGTGTACAAGCAGCATACATCAGTACGATTGTTTAAGCTGACATGATCATATAGAAGTTCGGCACAGACCTGTGAGTGATATACAGGAATGGCTGCCAAGCTACACTGAAAATGGCCGCCAGCTTCGCAGTGCAAGCCTGGAGGGAACCGATAGGTAAGTGCTACACTTCATCCACCAGGATCCCACGCAACGTCCTGAAATTTGTACCGACAACACAACAGATGGAAAGATCGTGCAGAAGAAGCTAGCCATAACGATCACGACTGACATGTACTGAAGAGGTGTGAACATACGCCGAGGTATTTTTTCGGTCGAGTGGAAAAGCGCTCCTTCTCAGTGAAATTAAGGGCTGGTGCTAATTTATGCGTCTGTGCCATCGACAATTGGACCAATTTAGTTGATGCCACAAAGCTCAGTTGCAGCTGTTTCACATACCTATTGCCGGAGGAGGAATTTCCATAACTCAGTAAAAACTACTGAGATTTATGAATCGTGATGAGAAATGCGAAAGTACTGATCAGTACGTTTCACGCGCGTTACTATTGTTATCCAGCAGTGTTCGTGATAGTACTAATGATAAATTTACTGTTTTGCAAACTGCTGGGCATGGTGTGGCAACCCTCATTGTCTGCCTTTGCTTCTTTCATATTCATTTTTTTTGTATCGACCATGGCACCCGTCCTCCGCACTCCATCAAAACCGAAAGCTGGCCGTCCAAAACAACGTAAACCTAAGACTTGCTACAGATGCAAGACGACATTCAGCTCCCATACGAAGCTGAAAAACCATCACTTGCGCAAACGAGGATGCGGTCCAAAAGCTGTTGCACTACAAAAAGCTAAGCGAAAGGAGGCAAGTAGACAGTCGAGCAAGGTGTACTCCATTAAGAGGGAGCTTGATAAAGTTGGTCTTTGAGAGTTCGACGACAATAAAGACGAAGACGAATCAATGGGCGAATCCGCAGACGAGGATCCCAAACGAGCAGCGAGATGGATGCCGTTTAACGACAATTTGGCGGCCGCGAAGAGCTTGGCGCAATTGGACTGGACTCAAGTTATAGACTTGCGTTAAAGTGGGCAGAAAATAGTAGTGCTTGCAGTATTAAGTGATTGTGTATAATAATACTATTAATGCATATCCACAGGCGTGTCGAAATCTGGTCAGAATCCTTCAATGAGGGAACAGTTAAACACATCTTTTACAGGTCAATATGTGTCGCTTAATGTTGATTTACATGTCCATCTTTCATGAAAGAGCCCAAAGCGCGCATTTACTGCTCGTGGCTGTTACGGTTCATTATAAAACCCACTACTAAATAGAAAAGTGGGTTAAAAAATGACGGAATAATAAATCCTCTTTTGTGCAAGTGTATTATAATTAAAAAAAAAACAGCTTTGCTGGTTTATAAAGTGCAACCGTTGTACAAGGTGCCATTGTATTTTTAACAATAAGAATCTTAACAAAAGGAGCTAAAAAGAAAAGTATATTCAATATGTAGGTAGATGTAGTTATTTACCCTCTGCACCCAACTAGTCACCTCCTTTTGACATTTTCCTCTTGTGTTTAGCTGGAGGGCCAGGTTTCAAGCCTCGCTTTCCGCCCTCGCGCGAAGTCGCTTGAAGCGGCGGTACAATCAATGTCGTGGCATTCTTTAAGATACCATCCGTCGGCCATGGCTTGAAAGGGTAGTGGTAAGTTTCTTTAAAGAGGCAAATCGACATTCGCTCACTCTTGTACAGAGTATCCAGCGATTGTCCTTCTTTTATGGCGGCAGCACAAACGTGCACACAGGGAAATTCCAAGCCTTGCCAGTTTCCACAGGTACACTCTAGGGCCGGTAAATCCACTAACCGCCAGGGGTGGGTGCCCCAGTCATCCTTTCAGTTTTATTCTCGTAGCGAGGCAGCATCTCAGCTTCGACAAGCTGGGTCAAAGCTGCCACATCTTGTGTTCTGTTTCTCTTGTCAGAGGCGGGACGCGCGACAGATCCCTCGGCAACGGGACGCGCGGAAAATCCCACGTGCTTGACATGGTTGTGAGTAAAGTTCACTCTAGTCACTTTCCAGTTTCCATTTATCCCACTGACGTTGATCGAGAACGGACAAGTTATGTCGTTGGGGTCAATAGAGTTGTCGTAACACTGCATGTCGTTCAGTTTTTTACAGGCGTGTTTTGCATTGCCACTCTGGTTCGGCTTGCTGCTGTTGCTTGAAACAGCAAGTTGGAACCCGCAGGATTGAGCAAACTCCTTAGAATGGCCTTTTGGGTTCCGTGGGTCTCTGAGGCTACGTTTTCACGTTGGCAATAGGCAACACCAACGTCTGATTTTGATGGGTCCGTGTCTTGGACCTGAACGTCCGTCTTTAACAATCCTAGGTTTGTTGCCATAGCCAAGTCGGAGCTATCAAGCGTGAACTGAGCCGCACTATGGTTAAGGTTTTTACGCACTCGTACACTTGTCATTTGGGCAACTTGGATGCAGTGCCAATGAACAGCTGAGGATGTAAGTGGTAGAATGCGGGTGAAGAATGGCTGTAACTGATGTCAGGGCAGTTTCTTTGAAGATCAGATATCTAAAAGTAACTTCCGTGTTATTTGTCCCATACCTAAGACTTCAAAGTACACGCGACGCGACTACTATTTTTAGAACTACTGAATTGGAAAATAGTAATTCTTTTTTTTTTTGGTATATCGGAATAACTACACAAATCGATTCATAAATCTCAGTAGTTTATACTGAGTTATGGAAATTCCTCATCGCCGGAGGGTAATCTTGGAAGATACATGGGTACAACAAGCAGTCACGGTCCATCACTAAACCATCCGCGCCCCTTAACATTGCCAGCCACCTCCCGTGTTTCTCTCTTTCATGTCAGTGTCTTCCGCAACAACAACACGCCATTCCTACGAAGACGACGAAGCAGAAATCAGGTTACAGTAACAACATCAAGATGCCAATAAATAACCAACAAACAAAACACTTACTCGATGATGAAGAATAAATACTCTCCAGTCTCCATTTGTTTGGTGTGTTCAAGCACTGCAGGGTGCTGTCTTCACATTGTGCAGTGCCACAACGCCATCTAGCTGTGCCACAGCAAGTACGTTCCGCGTATAGTGCCAGCTCAAATCCACGATACTTCATCATTGTTGATCGTGTCCTGAGTCTCCAGCTCCAGCTTCTCCTCATCCGTCACAGTCTTCAATAGCCTCTATACTGTGCCCCGGGCAGTGACGATAGCGCGGTTCAACACGGCCAGTTCGCCTTCGATCAAGAAGCTCTTTGCGCTACTAATTGCTCGCTTCAGCAGCCTCAAATCCCCCAGAGCTCAGCTCTTCGTCCTGCTCGTCAGTCAGATAAGCTCCCGGCCGAACGGACGCGGCTTGGAGTTCGATACGCGTGACGGAGGGAAGTCGCATCCACCACATCTGATAAAATCGTCTCCCACGTGCGCGTCGTTCCGCGTGGAGACGCAGTAAAGCTCGCCGTTGAGCACGCCTAGCTTCACGGCGTCCTCGTTCAGCAGAACCCAAATTATTGCGGAATGTGTGGGTCAGGTCTGGAAAGGACAGTAAACAAGAGCTTAAAGATAGTGACACGGACACACTTGTCGATAACCAATGGAATTGACAGCGTCGGGCAGCGCTACAAGCGCTGCATGCGAGTCTCCGGTGACATTTACGGATTTAGATGCTGGTTGGTGGTGTTATATATCGTTGAAATGCGGCAAACTACTCAGTCGCGTGTTTTCGCTTGGAAATTGATGCAAAGCTTTCGGAGGAAGATGACGCAACGGTGATAATTGATCACTTGCCGTCGTGTAGCGATGGTATGAGCGCAAGCTAGTGCTGAAACGCAGTGAGGACTGAAGACGAAGTGGAAATCTAGTTAGTAGGACCTTAAAAATTCTGGTCGTGCAGTACTTGGCGTTGTCGCCTGCGGACGAAGAGCAGATGAAACTCGTGCTCCCGCGTTTGCTGCGTGGTCGGGTATTGGCAGGTTGAGCGGACCCATTACACTTTAGCGCGTCGGTTTAAACTGTGGAGACTGGAAATATGGGGCGTTCTCCTGCGGGCGCAGCGGCAATGAAACTGGAGCGTTTGAAGGTGGACTCGTGATGGACCAGAAATTGGAGTTGATATTTCCGTTGGCTACGTCATCGTCTACAACATCGTCGCTGATCAAGCGTAAGTATCAGCAAGTAGAGGCTGATGCTCGTTGATTTCCAGAGTTGGTGGCTATGGCGCTTCAACCAACTTCGATCGCTTCGGCGGATACGGCAGCCTAAACTATTTCAGCCCCTCACTCGCTGCTATTGCACGAACTGAGTGCCGCAGGCAAGACGACATTAGTGCATCAGATTGCTAAAAAAAAGGAAGCCAATTTGCTAGTGCATGATGATGGGTTGTTAGCATGTCCGCACCTGCGTTTAGAAATCTTTTTGATTGGCTGCGCTGCGAATCTAGCCGTGTGCTGATGCTGCTGGAAGATCGCGAGCTGTTATTCCCGATGGCTTTGGACGAAACTAAGTAAAGCTGGTTTCCAGGCTCGTGAATTGTCTCAAAAGTGTCCGTAAGTATTTACCTGAATGCTATAATATATCTTATACTTTGTTTGCTCAGTTTTATTCTGTTCTCATACAGGCAAATCCGACTCAGTTCGCATCGCGGACATTGGAAATGTGTCTGTGCTCGGTACACAACATTCAAAAGTGCGACAGCTCTTCGCCGACGAAGTGTTTCTCGATGTACGTATGCTGCTCAATGGAACTACTCTCGAGGAATTATCCTACGAGCTGTGGTGGTTCAAAACATTGGATGGTCGAGTTATTAACGTCGATGTTGCCATCGGCCAGTTTTCTACGCCGTGAATTTCTCATGTCTTTAGCTGCTCGTTATGGTTAGAGGCCAAGCGATATCGCGTCGATAGCTCAGCAAGTCTGGACGTTTATCAACTGAAGACAGCCAGGATGTCAGAGCGGAGACGTTGAATCGGAAAGCTCGGCGTCACTCGCGAAATCTCCAGTATTAGCAATCGTGCCGACACTGTTAGTTTTTTTTTTTTCAGTCCCGGATGTCTCGTGGGATGATATTGGTAGACTAAAGCGTCAAACAGAACTTGATCGAGATGTCTGTAGGGCCTTTGGAACAGCCAGAAGACTTTCGCCGAATGGAATTTCACCGCCTTTGGGTATGGTGCTACGGTCCTCCAGGCACAAGAAAGACCGTGCTCACCAAAGTAACAGCCAAGGCGGATTCAACTTCCTCAATCTATCAGTGAGTGACCTCATGAAAGCAGAGTTGGTGAAAGTGAGAAGACCATGATTTGTGTGTTCGACACTGCCAGGAACTGAGTCCGCGCATGGTCTTCATCACGAGTTACAGTCATTGGTTGGCGACTGATCAACGGCTACCCAGTCAACGTCTCGTTGATTTCTCACCTGTTGATGGAGCTTGGCGTACTAAAGACAGTATCTGATGAAGGCGAAGCGCATGTCTTGGTTGTTGCTGCTGGTCGGATAATTGTTGACGCAGGAACAAATTCCTTGTCCGCCATTGATCCAGCATTCCTCCACGTACTGTCTGTCATAGGTGAATTATCGTTGTTCCTTGCTTTCTAGGTCGTATATGTTGGCCCCACTACCGCTTGCGAGCGTAAGGCCGTTCTGGAGATACAACGCAACAAAATGCTGTGGAGTCAGGACGTCGACCTCACCAAACTCGTCAAGGAGACAGTAGGCGCTAGCGCAGCGCCATTGAAAGCACCGTGTCAATCTGCAGCGATTCAAGCCATGCAGCGGATACCTGTCGACGCGCCGGTAGAAGACCTTGTACGACAAGGTTGATACCTCTGATGTTCCGTTTTGACTGGTGTATCTGTTTGCTCAGTACATTGCGAGGTCGACGTTGTTGCTGCGTTGGCAAAAGGAATTTTTATTTCAAAAGTCGAAGAGAAACTAAATGTTGCAAAAATGGAAAGCACCAACACTGTTGAAAGATCAGAATTGGCGCCAAATTATTCTCTAAGCATCGAAGCCCGCGTATGCAAGGAGTACCCTTTTGGGAGGGAACGCGAACAAGGACAACTTATCTTGAAATACCTCAGTGATACGATAAATACTGCTGTCGATTCTGGAGCACAAGAACATCGCTACATTTTTTTTTATCGGCGATCAGATTGTAATATACCCCTACAACACAGAGACGCCTCTTACCTTTTGCTAGAGTCGTCCGCGTAGGCATCGTTGGTGGGCTTGCAAACACGAATTTCTTCTCCTGCTAGAACAAAATTGTTAGATAGTGGTTAGCAAGACGTGAAGTACAATTAGCTACGCACACTAAGCGCATATTCATCTTGGATGACCCCTAACAAGGCCCTGTTGAGCTTAACTTGATGCGCCAGGACGGCCTTGAGTTTTCTGTTGATGGTCTCAGCCATACGACGCTTGCGAAACTCTTCCAGCGCAGTTGACGCCCATGGATTGCTGCGCTGTTTCCGCTGTTGTGGCGAAATTCCTCGCTCGCCGTCGACGGTACGAGGGTGTTTCACTCGTGCCAGTCACTCCTCTAGGATAGGGATTTGTCTGCTTAGTTCAATTGCCTCTGCCTTTCTCCGACGTAGTCGTTGAGTCGAGTAGTCTGGCTTGTTCTTTCATTTTCTGGACGGTTGATTTGATGCCTTTTTCGGTCTCGGACGGGATTTTGCTGTGGCATTCGACTCACCAGGTTTGACTTCCTTCGGGCCGCTTTGAAGATCATGGCTTGCATCATTATCCAGAACGCCCCAAGAGCTCCACGACGTCCGACAGAGTCACATCTTCCAGGTCTTCTGGTAACTTCAGGTCCGAGGTGTTCATCGTTGTGAGTGCGTTTTTAAAGCAAAGGTCAGATTTGACATCAAACTCTACCGTCTGAGATGACCCATTTCGTCCTCACCACGTGATTATGAGTTGGCTGGTGATTGCGCAGCTTGCCATTTGATTATCATGTCGCTTTGAAAACATAATCACATGTCCGAAGGCTGTTCATGCTTCGAGCAAAATTACACAACGAGATTCACAGTATTAACACGGAACCTGTCAATAAGGACCACACAGGAGACTCTTTCGCTTAGAGGACGAACCGACCCATATCATTGGACAGGTTTATATTTTTCTGTCACCTTGCACGCGAATCAATTCGTTAACAGGCTCGAAGTTCGATTGCGGTAAGCACAGCCTGCAATGATAACAGGACTATGCCAGTCCATTTTTGCTGGTATTCGGTGTAAAGTCAATGGAAACCTGCAGCAATAACCTGTTGCTAACGTTAACTCACATGAGGCAACACTGATACCGGAAAAGCAGATCCACGCCGACCTGCCTCGACGTTACTTCAACAAAACGGGCAATTTCGTGGATTTGTAAGCTCAGAACAAGGTAATGTGTACGGGTACCCAAACTCCAACGTTGGGCAAATTTATTATGCGTGGGTCAGTAAAACATAGGCAGGATCCAGAAACCGTGACATCTTGCTCTTCTTCGAATAGGGAAATATGTTAGTTCCCGTCTCATGCGTCAGATTAACGTTAAATAGGTAATAATTACCACCGCTCAGTGTAAAAAAGGCTTAAAAGCTACTTTTTAGGTCTTGTCTTTACGTTTATAATTGGAAGAAGTTCACTTGTATGGAATTTGTGTGAAGATGAGTTATCCGAGCACTGCATCGCGAAGTTTCGAATTCTTTAAGTACACCTTGATATCGTAGTGTATACCAGGGCATCATAGTTATGTTCTCCGGCACCAGATCTTTCAAGGGGTTTAGTCATCTTTCCACTACATGTGCACGTTAAGAATCAACATACGTGCATTTGCTGGTAAAGACACTACGATTTTTTTGCACAGAGAAGTTTCTTCCCTAACTCATTTGTTTACCGTGGCGCCGCAGGTGCAGTGTTCACCGTCACCAACTCTTGCTGCCACTGCCAATGCGAGCGCAACTTCATCGCCCACGTGTCCAGCACATCTTCCTGAATGAACTTGATGTCCTTTTCCACTGCCGAAAACCCTTCCTGTCGCTCGACAAAAAGTTGCAAGTAAAATTTCACTTCGCACTTTTCAGTTGTTGTTTTCGAGATGACCGTCCAAGCGTGACTACATAATCGTAGTCCTTCTAAACCTTTACTGGGAAAAAACAACTTGGATTGCCGAATATGAACGATTCGCTCTTTCTCCTCGAACCTGTGCAAGTATTGGAGACCGTGGGTCGCCGTTGTGCCACTGGGGCATCGAACAGTTAAATCGAAGCTCTTGGCCACGGCATCAGGTCCTCGTTCATTTATCTAAAAGAGAATCACATAAAATCGTAAGTGAGTTGATGAAGACAGTAATATTTTCCAAGTACGTACCCATCGGTATGATATGTCGGGCGAATGGCCGATGTTGTTGATATCTCCCCATAGGACATCGCTAACCTGCTTCATCGAGTTCTCAACAGGGACTCTTGCGACGAGTTCGATGATCCTTCCGCGAGATATGTCGACACTGGACTCCATGCGGCAACCGAAAGACGGGATATCTTTGTTCGAAAACACAGTCTCAGAGAGCGTGTGCAGATATGGCACGCATTGGGCGAGTTGTTCGATCAGCACAAGACTGTTATCTTTGTTTGCGAGTGCTGTTCTAGCAGTTGGTGGACTTGCAAACACAAATTTCTTCTCCTATATAGGAATACAACGAGCTGTTAGATGATTATCAACTGTTGGAAACCACGTAAATACGTACACTTAGCGCAGATTCTTGTTGGATGACTCCTAGCACGGCCCTGCTGAGCTTAGCAATATCCGCATGAAAAAATTTAAGTTTTTGGTTGACGGTCTCAGCTATACGACGCTTGCGAAACTCATCCAGTGCAGCCATCGCCCAGGAACTGTCGCGCTGCTTCCTTTGTTTTGGCGAAATATCCCGCTCACCGTTGACGGAACGAGGGCTTTTTATTCGTTCCAGCCACTCCTCCAAGATTGGAATTTGTCTGCTTAGTTCAATTACCTCAGCCTTCCTTCGGTGTAAGAGTTGTGTTGAGTAGCCTGGGTTGTGCTTTCGTTTTTTTGCGGGTTTCGTTGGTGCTTTTGTCGCTCTCGGACGAAGCTTGGCAGAGATGTCTACCTCGGAAAAAGCAAAGGGTAAGCTGCTGGCACTGTCATCAAGAGCCCCCATGAGCATTTCGATATCAGATAGAGTCACGTCTCCAAATTCTGCTAGTAAATTAACGCCCGGGTTGTTCATTGTTGTACTTGCGCTTTTGAAGGCAAAATTGCAATTGATTTCAACATCTACTATGATCTTTGTCTTCACCAGGTGATTATGTGTTTATTGACGATTATGATCCGTAAGCAAAATGAACCAATTGATTGCCCGAGTTTCGATGCCCGGTACTTAAAGGAGACAACCAAATCGCAATGACTCACGCCTCCCCAGCTAGACTCCATTTAGTGCTGTTACTGCATCATCTTCACTCATGAACTGATCCAACCATGCCCTCAAAGCCTAATTGCATTTGTTTTTTTATAGTTAAATCGTTGATACATTCGTATTCTCTTCGCAACTCTTGCTATCAACTGGTAAAAAAAAAAACGGTTGGGCTAGGCTGGTATAGGAAGATGTATAGCTACAGCACGGTGATTTTGTTTAATATTACCGTACGAAATATGGACTTGCCCGTCGTTATTTATGAATAGATAAAATGGAGAGCTTCGGACATGGAGTTGACGTTTATGTATCCTTGAAAATCATATTTTTTTTTGAAGTCAGGACACACTCTCGTGGTGCATGGATGAGTGCGACTGGTTCACACTCACCATAATTTTTTTTATGGTCAGGATCATGCTTGTCATGCTGCACAATCTACTGGGCCCCGTAATCGTTCTCGATAGCTGCCGAAATTTTCATTGATCATAACGAAGACGCGAGACGTCTCGTCTCAAAAAAATTTTTGTAAAAAATTAAAATGAATGGTACAACTACCATCTGTGTTAATGCGTAGGCAGGATTGAATTGCAACAAGAACAAGTCGCGATACCTTGTGTCTTTTACATAATGGTTTTCCACTACAATATCGCGTCTTACTAAACTGATTCAGGCTGCTAAACACTTGGCTTCTCAGCAAGCTCTCCTATGCATTCACCAGCCAAATCAGCCACTTACATAGTGACGAAATACATGTAAGGGAACGTACCTGTGTTTCTGATGATCTTTCTGTTTATACCCAATCAAACTGCGAGTTGGTGAAAAAAAATCTAATGTCATGTGTGTATCTTTTGCATTTAAGTGCTTACTCTGTACTACTGCAGTCCAATGCAAAACGATACATGTAAATCGAACTAGACGCCAGGAGCTTTTCATATCCTTAGGAAGCAGAAAACATAGCTAAACCGAACTCGAGATCACTTCGTTCAGTTCGATCGCAGATTTCGGTTCTGGGTAGGAATCGAGTCCGAGAATGTGTCGCCCATATCGTCAGTCGTTGTGATGGTGCCCTCGTTGTCGTCCTGGGTAGCAGTCTCCTCCGACTGGTCCGGGGTTGTCTCGGTCTCCGGCACAACAGTCGTCGTGTATGGGGTTTCCGTCTCAGCCGATTCCTCAGTCTGGGTAGGAGTGTAATTATCTGGAGTGGGCGTGGTAGGGTAGGGCGTCTCCGTAGGAGCATCGGTGGCAGGTGGCAACGGGATTTCCGTGACCGGCAACGGCTCAATTGTGATTGGGACCTGAGTGGCTGCCTCAGTCTGTGTAGGTGTCGTGGCGCACGGCGCTGAGGATTCTGGGGTCTGAGCATACGGAGTTTCAGTCGGCACATAGGCCTCTTCCGACTCAGTCGGGTAAGGAGTCTCAGTGGCAGGTGGAGTGTAGGGCGTCTCTTCTTGCTCCTCCGTCTCCGGAGCATCCGTCTCCGGCACAAGGGTGAAGACCGGGCACGGGGTCGTCGGAGCGGGAGTGTATACCTCGGGAGCTGGAGTGTATACCTCAGGAGAGGGGGTGTCCGGCACGATAGTGAAAGGAATACTCTCAGGAGTCTGAACCACCGGCGGGGTGTACTCTTGGTACGGAGTTTCAACGGGTGGCGATGTCTCCGGCACTAAGGAGAGTACCGGGCAGGGAGTGGACGGTGCCGGAGTGTACTCGGTCGATTCCTCTGGGGCATCCGTATCATATGGCAACGTGAAGGAGGGGCATGGAGTCGTCTGAGCTGGTGCTGGCGTGTACACCTCAGGGGCTGGCGTGTCTGGCACGAACGTGAGAGGAATATCCACAGCTGTCTCAGTCACCGTCGGAGTGTACGTGGTAGATTCCTGGTACGGAGTTTCAACTGGAGGAGACGTCTCCGGCACCAAAGTGAGAACTGGGCACGGGGTATCAGTCACAGGAGGACTAGTCTCCGTTTCTGGCGTATCGTACGGAGTAGATTCCGGCTCTGGCCCAGGGGTCGGCAGTACAGGGCACGGAGTATCGGTCGCTGCCTCCGTCGGAGTAGGTACGTACTGCTCTGTCTCCTGTTCTTGCGATGGAGTGAGCACGTAAGGAGATTCCGTCACCGTCTCGGTAGGGGGTGCCGTCGTTTCCGGACACGGTGTCGCGGTAGCAGCCTCCGTCGGGGTAGGCACGTAGACTTGCGACGCCTCTTGGACAGGGATAGTTGCCGTCGGGGGCTCGGTTGTGCCGGGGCACGGTGTCTCTTCATAGACCGTGCCCTCAGTTACTGCCGGAACAGAGTAATCCGGGAGACTGTAGCCTCCGGCACTCACTATACATGTGTGTGAGGCCCAAACAGCGATGAACGCAACGAGGTACTTGACTGGAAGCATTGTCGTCTTGAGGTTTGAGTGGCCAAGTATGTCCTTTGCGGCAAAAGGTGGAATGCGAACCTGGGTGCGACCTCATAGTACGGTCGCAGGAGGAGCATTGGCAGGAGTTTCGATTGCGTAGATCGTTTCAACTCAGTGGAAAAACGCCGCGAACGCTCGAGGAAAGGCAAGAGGCGATTGTCACTCGACAGTGCAGGCCATTCATTATGACTCTTTGAAGCCGATAAAAAAATGCATCTAGTCACAGGATTATTTGCTCTGTAGAGAGATACATGACGTTGGGGCTCCTATGGGAGCGAGAAATCCAGCTCCATACCGGTGCAGTGTGCTATGTGGGAGTGCCATAACGGTAGGAAAGTCGCGCCGCTTCGATTGGATCAAAGTCGCAGCTGATTGGACGATAAGCTGAAGCAGTTATCTCGAAAAGATACTGCCTTTTGGTAGTTTTACTTTCAAATTAGGACCTTGACTGTGTGTAACACGAGCGCTTGAATATAGAAGAAAAAAACTTACTGGCAATAGGTTCGATGATTAATGGTCATCTACTTGATTTTTGTATGAACTGCCTTGTTTTACCAGTAATGCCTACAGCCACGAAAAAGGATTTTAGCTACTGGATCTTTATCAATGAATAAATGGGTAAACAGAAGCCCTTTCCATCATTCTTGCGGATGCCTGTGCGTTGTTGGAGCTCCAGAGGAGCAGTAACGAGTCGGCTGACCTCGCTTTTGAAAATGTTGGGGGTCTCGAATGTCGACGCAACCACACTCAAATGCTCGGTGGACGAGATTTCGAAGCCAGTGGCATTGCCGTATTATTGTTCCCCGTCGAGTGCTCGAATACGAGGCACTGAGAACAGTCCAAGCCAGCGTTCTCAATAAATCACTCGTACCTTGCACACAAACACTAGATTAGTGAATGAAACATCATACACATACTACTAGTAAGATTTAACACGAACCAAAGCATGGCCTCGCTCTCGTGGACATGAGACTCCGGGTTCTAGACGAGAATAACACCGTCTGTCTCCTTCAATACTGCAGGCCAGCACGCCTCCTAGCTGCAAGGGGTAAATGATTTAGCTTATAATACTACCAGTTAATTGCTCAGTCTTACTTCTGATCTCCTCATACGTCCCAGAGCTCCACATTCTCGTTGCCCTTGTCGAGCTCGAGGATGCGTATATCAACAGCGCTCTCGGCTGCCCAGGCGATCCGTGTGTTCGACGAGGACATTAGCGACCTGAGACAAGGATAACGTGAGCAAGAAGTGTATGCAGCTATCATATCTTCATGTGACCGCACCGTGGATTTGTCGGCCTCTTTTGGCCTGGCGATGTGGATCTTGAGCGGCGCCATGAGGATCAATCTGTATCCGAGGCAGGGCTCGGAAAAAATTATTATAATATAATAATTGTGCAATTGTATTGACGGAGTTATGGATTATTGGTAAATTGGGATTTCCGTAAAATATGCAATTGTGTCCGTAATAATTATATTGAGTTGTTACCGTAGGTAAAAAGCAACAGAGGGCAAAGCAGTGGCCGTCAAGCGGCTAACTTCGAGATGCTGGTGTTCCTACGTGCCAACCGGGAGCTCTAGGACTTCATGTCTCTGTTGGGGTTCCATGAGGCGGCCGATGAAGACGCAGAGTAGATGATAGTCACACAAGAAGTGGTGCCTCTTATAGTTGATGTTGTTTTCAATCATAAAATATAGGAGGTCGAAAATTTTCACAAGCAAAACCCATATCCGCTGGTGGACTGTCTTGCCGTCGCCGGCGCATTTTTGCTTGCTAGAGTACCCCTAAGCCAGGACAAAAGTTCCGGTGGCAGCCACCAGCTTCTCGTACAGGTGTGGGACTCGAACCCTGCCCAGTGAATTGGTAGAGTCATTCCAAACCACTGCACCGTTCAATTTTGCACAATAATTGCAATACTTATTATTGTTTTTGTCGATACGGAGTTACGGATTATGTTTCTTTTAGAAATCCAATCCAATATTTTATTTTATTTTCCGAGCCCTGATCCGAGGCGACGGTTGTTTGGATTAAAAAGTCGGGATACCTTTTTCCAAATGTTACAACGATTCTTTGTTTGGTAGAATGCGAAAGATTTTACCATAGCTGGCTTACTACGCAATACGCGTATGCTTAAGTGCAGCACAACTACAGAACCTATAGAAACTCCACAGCAATAAATGACCTAGTCGGACTTGATGGCGATTCCGATCTTACCAATGTGACCAGCTGTCTCCAGACAACTGAACGCAGCGTGCACATCTTCCTCATCGAATCCGAACGTCTTGTGAATGTGCGGCTGGATGTTCTGGCTTGTGACCACTCGCACCAACTCTTCGGTGAGTTGCTTGCTTCCAATCTGAACGCCACGAACAGTACAGCCCTTGTTCAACACCATTCCTGCGACGTCAGGCATTTCTTCCTGCTTTGCGCGAAACAGGAAACCAATCACCGCAATTTGACCACCCGGTTTAATAGCCTCCATGCTTTGGGCAATAGTACCAGAACCTCCAGTTTCGATCACAATGTCAACGCCTCTACCGTTGGTGAATCGATTCGCCTCTGCCGCCCACTCCGGCGTCTTACGGTAGTTAAAGGTGTACTCGAAACCAAACTTCTCCTTCACGAACTGTAGTTTCTCATCCGAAGACGAAGTGATGATTGTAGTAGCTCCCGCCGCTTTGGCCAACTGTAGACCAAAGATCGAGACACCACCCGTGCCTTGGAGAAGTACCACTTGGCCTGGACGCAATGGATTTAGACCATATAGTGCGTTCCAGGCCGTCACTCCAGCACATACAAGTGAGGCTAGCTGCACGAAATTAAGCTTACAGCCTTCGGGTATCTTGGTCACGGCTTGGGCTGGTACAGCAGCGTACTGTCGCAACATCCCGTCCAATGTTCCTCCTAACCAATGCGATCCACCGTCTAGCACGGGACCGTACATGTTCGCAACGTCGAAATTGGTGATAACACGGTCACCCACTTGAATGTCTTCTACTGAGGAGCCCATAGCAGTCACCACGCCAGCTCCATCGGAACACGGAACGACATGCTCCGTCACTGAACCGGGGTAGTTGGAATTCGCGATGACGAGATCTCGGTAGTTGAGGGTAACGCCACGCACCTCGATCAGAACTTCATGATCTTTCAAGGTCGGAATGGGTTCCGTCGACTGCGTTAGGGTCTTGTAAGAGGTTCGATCGCCGAAACGGTAGACGACATTGGAGGTTGGCATTGGTGATTGTAATTGTGTTTTGAGGACTCGCTGAGAAAAGTCAAAGTGAGTGAGTCCTTGGCAGACAAACGACGGGAGATGAGGCGATTGCGTCAAACGAAAGCTTTCGTCAACCACTTCATTCAGTCATTTCAACGTCACATAGGATGTTGAAGTGAGTGGGCATTAGGCATGTCGATTGTCACAGCCGAAAATTAGATGATACGTAATCCTGAACTAAACTCATTCTTCGAGAAACATATCCCTTTATCCCTTACTTGAATTTTTTTATTGAAAATTGCTACCGAGGAATGCCGTGGACGTGTATGGACTGGTTAATCGTAGACACCACCAAAGTGGTCGATAGCGGTTGAAGAAACAAAGTAGTATAGTACAATTAATACTACTACTACTGGAGTAATAAGTGACAATCATGTTCTGATAAAAAAAACTATTGCAGTCAGTTGTTCATTTTTCTACTTTTACGGAGAGCAGATTGAAGTTGGAGAGACGTAAACACATTTTAAGTTTATTTACACATCGTGGTGGGATCGTCCAATCACCACACATTTATTGACGATTTTTTTTAATCTCGGGCTTCGTGGAAATTTAACGTATCGCTGTGAGTATGATAACTACCATCTATCACTTCTAGATATCAATTTAGTATTAGCTCACCAAACAAATGTAATATATTCTTAGCTCTAAGTATCAATTTATTATTAACTAATCAAACTTATGTACCATACCCCAAGAATGCTTCGGCTGTAACACAAATGCAACTCATATTACCACTTAACAGTACAATGGCGCATTTTTCGCCCTTTGACGGGTCTGTCCATTAAACTGTAAGAATCAGTCTCTTTCGCCATTCTACAAAATGTTCAACTCATCTGGTGCAACAAAGCATACGCAATACGATTCATAATAACCAACTAATACTTTAATCTAGTGTTATTCCATTACATTATCAGAGAACATTTGGTTCAAGCCGTGAACTGTGAAGCTGTACGGAAAATGCGACCTTCTAGAAACAAATGACTTAGTCTTGTATAGTACACTTTAGACAAACGGCTCGGAAAATGGTTAATAGCAGGTCCTCTAACACAACCCTAAAAGAGCAATTTAATGAATAAGCGATGATGAAGTTGAAACAGTGTGTCTAAATTCCAAATCGTTATGTAGACAAAAAGACTTGTTTTAACCCGCCTGGATGGACCTCCGGATGACAGTTTCGGTTGCTAGATAAGATGCTAAGAAACCCGAGCGAGCGGGCTGAAAAACAACAGCAATATCTCTTGCGCCACTGAGTTTCCATGGAACTTTACCAATTGGATTGCATTAGATGAAGGATGTGGATACTAGTCATCGTTTCAAATTATTCAGCGTATATGGTTAAAACCAAAAATGTGTCTATCTCATATTTTCCAACGGTTTATCGTAGGTAACAAGGGGCTAATAGATGTGATAGTGACCGGGTGTTGAAGTTAGCGATTTCAACTTGCATTTTCATTGCAAACAGTGCAAGACAGAGCATCGAGGCAATTGAGTTCATCTTCAAATTACCATTGACACAAAAATGACGAACAGTTGGAGGACGCAAAGTGGTAAGGCAGCGATCAGCCCAATTTGGGAGTCGACACGATATGCTGTAGGGGTTAAACCTGCCAAACGAAGTCTGGTAGACAAAGGTTCATCGACTCTGGAAGTCATTGCAGTTTCTGAAGTACGCGATCGTGCTTTGCTGAGCCTCAAGAGCGAAATACGGTGCCTCAAACGATCATCAACCAAACGGACTACGTGGGGAGCTGGTGTTCACCCGGGCATATCCCGACAAGAACCCGATAAGCGCTGCAAGTATTTTGTTGTTATTGCTATGTACGGAGGGTCGATCAAATACTGATGATATTGTTGGTACTCTCGTTACTACAGCGCTCTTTGAAACGATTGACAACATCCGAGCTGACGCGGACGGGCGAAAGCGACTAGGGAGGTTAAAAAGCTATTATCTAACGACGAACTCATTTGTAACGGTAAACAAATGAAGTATGCGAGTGAGGCTTTTACACTTTTTGACCATCAGGAGTTTGATATATATGGTTCTGTATTCGATGTAATAAGTATCAACTAGTGCCAAGTTTTTGGCACGCTAGTTCTCTGGATATTTATATTCAGAGCCGTCGACGAACCTGTACAAATATATAATTAGGCTACATGTGTAATTTCCCGATATATCTGTGTTTGTGGGAAGCATATAAATAGACGTACTTCTCTGACCCGCTTCAAAATGACGATTTCATATATTTACCGATAACTTGAAGCCTGACCTCGGCAGAAAGCGATAAGCACAGCATTGAAAAGCCCCCGGTATAGCGCACCTGAACATATTTTTGTTGCTGCACTAGCAACAGGTACGGATGAGCACCATGCGCTCAAACTCTCCGCAGTTTGAATCCCATGAGTTTTTTTTTCGCAGTTCAGTCAATATTTAGCGGTATTACACCTAATTTTAAGGACGATTAAATTAGACGATTAGCTTCCATACGATGTACCCGTGCACGCAGAAACGAATTAGAAGCTCTAAAATTCGGACGCATAGAGGGCAAGGTTTATTTCCAAAATCCGGAGCATAACGGTGAGCCACCAATAAAATCAACCAATCAGAAGAGAGGTAAGAATTAACCTAATATTTATGCTTTCAAAAACATGAAATTAGCTATTGAACTTAATTATGAATTGAAAAGCTGGCTGTACCCTGTTTTTCTTGACACTATTGCGGAAATTCCTTCAGCCGCGCACACAGATCCCCGGAGTAGCTTGCCGCGGACACTGCGCTCGGCAAGGAACAACACTACACGAAGTCGTATTGCAGGTGGGATGTCCTTTTTTTCGGGGGTTCTTGGTATCGGCGTGATGGAGTTTGCGGAATAAGCGTTCACCAGTGTCAGAATTAGTGGTCAGGATACAAGTATAAGAACTTGCCACTTTTTATCCAATAAAAACAATTTACTCGGTTATGTGCGATTTATTAAAACCCCAATCGTCATTTTGAAGCGGGCCAGAGAAGTAATCCATTATAATCTCTCAAAAAAAATTTGTTAATCAAGTGAATGTTGACCCAACCGGTAAGGAACGCCACTCGAGCGACCTCATCGATAAACGACATTCTTGCGACATGATATCTTTTCCGTCGTTAGATATTGTGAATTCCGTCCAAATTTGCCGATTTGGGTCTGTTTGAGGAGTGGAAGGACAATCGCCCACTCGAGACTTTGTATGACCAGCATCTAAAAGCTTACCGGTAAATACCGGTACCTTAAATATCCAGGACTTCCCGGGCTACGCATGGCATTAGTTGATGTCGTATACTTTTTATACATCCAAACCTAGTTGTGCTTAATCGTATGAGGAAGTGAAAACAGCAGTAATTAGGAAAGAAATACGTTTACAACGTTCATTAGTCTGCATTGTGACGAGCAAGAATTAGGAGAGGAATTTTACTAACCATTAAAATAACATTAGACGCTTTGCAAGAACTCCTGTCTAGACCGTCGTCCAAATCCGGGGTGTACTTTTTTGATCAGTTAAACCGTAACACTGAAGGAATGAGGAATGGGTAAGCAGCTGTCCTTGTCTAGCTACAACCTGTACCTTGTCCGAAGCCTCCTGACTGCAGATCAGAGAACTTCGGCGGCTAGTAACGTCCTTCCACCTCTTATACAACACACACTATCGAATATGTAGGGCTTCTGTTCGTTAAAAGTCCCAGGTACTAGTGCACGCCCCTTACACTCGATTCGTCTTGGAATTTCTCAGGTAGGGAATAGCTTGCTTGGGATTATTCAGGGGAAAATCCGTCGGCGTGCTAACCAGTTCTGCGTGACTCCACTTCCAGCAGCAGTGGCTTCTTCAGTTGGCTCCTCTTGTTGACTCAATTAGATGCTAGCTCAGGTAACTCCAATATATTGTTTTCTTGTTATTTGTCTTCTCTAGGGCTCGCACCAAGCCGGTGTTCACACTCACAAGCGCTTGTGCGAAGATGACCCTTAGCCTTGCACACGTTCACGCTCTCGGTGTTGTCTTCGTTCGTGCCAATCTTGAACTGACCAGCGTCGTACCGGCCCCGTTCTCCTCCGTCGTAGTCTTGACTACGGCGCCCTTCCGCTAGGTTCGATGGTCGCACTCCAATTGCAATCTCCGTCCTCGATGGCATCGCTGCCCTTGCTTCTTCTACACTTGTACACCCCGTCGACGACGGTATTCCATCCGTTCCGCTTTCTCCGTCACCATCATCTCACCGTCTCGTGCGTAGCTACCGGCCATGGGATCTGCCTGTCGCGCTGAAGTAATTATTCTCCATCGGCCAGCCGGTCTGTCCTTCCAGCGGGCGAGACCCTCATGCACAGGCCCCATGGTAGCCGCGCCTTGTTCGCCATCCTGTCCATCCTTGGCATCGCTCACCGTCTCTCTCTATTGCTTCCGTCCTCGTAACTCCATTTTCGTCACTCTTGGCCAGCTGTCCCACTCTCCACGATTTTCAAGGGCCCTTAGCAAAAGCTCCTTACTAATGTATATTAGAGTTTGGCTTCACTTAGTCCGGCAAGCCTGTTGTGATGGATAGACAACAACCAGATTTACAAACACGTGATCATTTCGGAAGTGCGTCTTGCTATGTTGACATGTATAGACACCAGTGAGGCAGTTCGAACACTTATACACATTGTTCTTGTAAACGGCTGTCATATAAAAGGATATGGGTAGAAAAACAGCGGGACTTGATCACTCTGCATACCAACATGTCTTAAGGTAGCGTAACAACGCAAGTCTACATGTAGAACACGGATATCATAGCCAATGTGTTTACCTTTCACAAACTTCTGTGTTTGCTTTGCTGCTCTTGCTCGTCTTCGTTTTAACTTTGGGTGCGGATGAAGGTTGGAGGAGGAGGGGCTTTGCCCCAACTTATGCGTAAACATAAGTTTTGGGTGTCGCCCCCTTAATTAACACTCAAAAACATGACCCTCCTCTAGTTATAGAAGTAAGATCATAACGGAAAAATATCCAATCAGAGAAAATAGGAGCTGAAAATCGAACACTATCAAGGATCGTAACGAACAATAGTTTTAATATACCTTGGTGGGTTGATCCGTAAATTCGATAGACACTTACGGGTCATATTGATTAATGGAGGTATGTCGCTTGAGAGTCCACCGATTATCTTTTATTGATTCTAGCGCGTTTAACACCGATTGGGCTTAGTGTGAGGCTTGGTAGCAAAACACCTAGATCCGTTTTCAATTTACGTCATGCCCCCACTATACGGGTCCTCATCGAAGTATCATGTTGTTATATAGGGTCATCCGTATAGCTACCGAATTATTTCAAATAGGCCCCAGGGACTTCTACCTTAACAAATCAAACTGCCGTATTGCAACATATTAATCAATGACAGCTTCTTACAAAGCCTTTCAGAACTTTACTACCTCTCAAATCAGCGCCTACTCGTGTTTTGAACAATATATGCATCATGGGAGACGACAGCTGCGGGTCTAGCGAGTGCGACTGGGAACGCTACGGAGGGGAGTTACAAAAGACATCGGCTTATTTGCTGAGCTCTCTTCCCCGGAAAAGTCGACATAAATACGTACGCGCCGCGCTGCGTCACAAGTATATCTACATCAAAACGGGTAGATTGAGCGGAGAGATTCCTGAATGCTTGAGATGACTTGAGATGACGACGTTTGCAGTATTGGCCTGATAATGTAGGAAGTGAACGGATTCTTATCATCATGTCTCTGGTAGTGTTAGATAGGCTATGCTAGTTATGAATCTATTGACGCGTTTCCGTGTAAATGCAATAGGCTTAACTGCTGGAGGCATCATGAGCAGCGCGAAGAGCTGGAGATTTCACTTTGAAAGTGTCCTGATAGTGGAATGCACTAAAGTACTCCACATGGAAGCCCCACTGGCATTTAGTGCACCCGTACTTTGCTTGTCTGCTTACTCCACGCATACTGCAAAGACAGCATGTTAGCTGGCCACTGCTGCGCTAAGGTAGAATTTATGAGAGATCCAGCAGGTTTCCAGCACGTGAGGAGCTGGATGGTTCGAAGCGTGGAAGATGGCGCGAGGCGCTGGATTGCTGGGATCTCAGAATGTGGTCGCGTCGACCGCTTGTGTCTGCGGTTACGCGGACGTACGGCACCTGGATCTGTGGATAACTGCTGCATATACTATGTGGAGGAATGCCCCACAAAGCTGTATATCTTGTATATCTGGAGAGTCGAGTCCTAACTGCGGGAGAGCGTCCACGATTGATGATGTTCCGACTGGATTGTCGAACCTGAGAACAGCAAAGGTAGTGTGGACAGTAGTAAGGCATTGACTCACTAATACATGGATTCAACTTGGAGATGAAAGCACCAAAGCAGTGCTCACTTTTGAATCTGCCTCCTCGACCACAACTGTCTTACCTTTGAGTGTCTGCCCTCGCTGGCCTCCACTCAGCACCGCCCTACGAACCTACAAGTACTCGGCAACCTGCAAAAGTGTGCAAGAGAACTCGGGCTGAGATTCTCTTAGAATTTGGAGTGATAATGTGAAACGATATATCTGCTCTAACAACCTCGTCAAGCACTTAGTAGTTACGCTTTTTTATAACGACAGCTTAAAAAAAACAATTTCGAAAATAAGGGCTTCGCTACCTTCCCTCTGTTACAACATGCAAACCATTTTGCGTACTTAACGACTCGTCTAGGCCCCTCCAATGACAATTGGGGACCTGTTGCTAAACGACAGCACTGGTCAGATCCTCACTGGTGACGCTGTAACTGGGTACGCGATCAACGTCAGCCTGTAGTTCACTACTAATAAGCTGCAGGGAGGTAGCATTCAGCTGCAGTTCACCCACGCTTTGAGGAACGTCGCTAGCACTGATTTGCACCTCATTACCGAAACTCTGCGTCTCACCACTGTTTAAAGTCCTTCGGTGGCCAAGGAACCGTCCCACGCTACTGCATCGCAATCAGCATCGGATCCTTGAGATCACCACTGGAGCGTCCAGAAACTCCTCGTAGACGATCTACAGCTTCCTGTTGCTGATCTAGACCACATAACCGCTACTCACTGCCGCTGAATTATTCATGAATCGATACGTCATTGCCAAGAGCCCAAGCTTCTCCACCGTCAGTCGGTTCAGCATCTATTTCATCACTAACGAGCCGCTCCAGACCTCGACGAGATCTTCCCCGTAACGACTTCAATCCTGTAGGCAGTGATGTGACTCCATCGCCATCAAGATTGACACGTGCTCTGCTGCCATCGCAGTCAAGTTCGTCGGGTGCGAGGGAGAAAGCAAAAAAAAAAAAACTGTATGACGTTTATAACTGTAGTTCCAGCGTGTTACGAACAGTATTCAGTAGACTGGCTAGCACTAGGAAGACCAGTAAAGTGAACAACACCGAATGCAGAAGCAATGCTATCGAGAACGAATACAAAAACACGACAAGGATCGAGAGCTCGAATCGACAGCTAAGATCCGGAATTATCCAGGTCGGACGCCAGAAGGATCTGTCCCAGGTATTCTACGGGATTTTTATGCAGAAGTTTAGGAGGCGAGTCATTTTGACCCAAAACTACTCTAACTTTTTGTAATCAGAGCCCAAAATAATGTTGTCGACTTCAAACTTAAATAAACTTACTTCAGCATTTGATAACCTGCTATTTATGATCTGCATATAATTGTCATGCCGAATATAGTGAGTTTCTCACATGAATCTGCATTTTCCATCACAATCAAAGTTTGGGGCATACAAGGGATATGTTCATTGAGTTGATCCAAGTCGGAGGGCGCGGCGAGGCGAGTCGAACTTCGTAGGGAGATAGAAAATTCCTAAATGAGACTACTATATAGCTGTACCCCACCTATTACGCTATTTCGAGTTGCACTGTCGCAGCATATGACGGCCCTGTTCACAGGATGAGATGCTTGGCTTCGCCTCCAGTCTTGACGTATCTTCCTCTTGCTGCTGGAAATAGGAGTATCCAGTCTCAGCGGATACGCCCACTACCTGCCCGTTCAGCTTACATCGGATACGTATCTTATACTTTAATCATAAAGTTTGGTGATGTACATCTGATAACCTTGTTCAAGTGATGCAACCCAGCTGAATGTTCCTTGTCACTGGCAAGCATAACATCACGCTAGTTTGCGACTGGACGGGGTAGTTTAATCGGCGTGGACATCAAATCGAACTACTTCATTTTACACCTAAGCGTTTCAGATGCCTAAGACTTACCAGCAATACCACTATTGTGATCGCATTGCAACTCTCACCGTGTGGTAGCGTAATTAGTATTAGAGCAAAGCGTCCAACGGTGTAAAGGACGGCATAAGTTGTTCAAATTTTAAATGCATGCATCTCGTCTAATGACGACTGCCACCCGACCGATCTCTAGATTATTCACAAAATCGATGGTTCCTAACGTATTAAATGACATCGCGGACGGTGTCGATTGTATAGTGCAGAACTGGAACCTCTTCATGCAATGGTTTTAAGACGTACGCGTTCAGCTAAACAAATTGATAATAGCTTCAAAGAACTCCCTTGTCGTGGGTTTCACAATTACTGAGGCAGCGATGCAGAATGTGTTTCTCATTTGTTCAACGCCAGAAAGGGAAGTCAATTGCCAAATTACTGAGCGAATATAGAACCAGCACCTTATCTTTCAAAGTTCGGTCAGTTTCGATTGGAATGACGTGAGCAAACAACTTGTTCTTCTTCAAACCCAAGCCTGTAAGTTACCTGTACTGGCGCGAAAGCTGCGTAATATGGAGGACGTCCTTAAACCTTCGAGCCCGAAGCGATTTTTGTGTTGTTAAACTGCATATGCAAGTTAATAATACTTGGTGCTGTAAATAAAGGGTGGGGTTAAAGCGGAAATTGGGCGAAGTCAGGCGTGTATGAGTAATAACCAGACTACCGAATAATCGTAGTCCTAGGGGTCGTTTAGTCCTTGGGGTCACTTGCAAAACGACCAATCAACAGCAACCATTTTTGTAGAAATGGCTACATTACTTACGCGGGCGGTTCAGTTTATTTTTAGTTCCAGCTTAAATAAAAGAACACCACGGCAGCAATTCCCCCCTAGAGACATGGGTCGTCCTCGCATCAATGGCAAAGGCATAAAGAGGAAGTTGTACCAGCGTACACAAAGAAGATGTTCTTATTTTTAACGAAACGCACTCCCTCGACGACACTATTGATCAATTCTATGGAAAATTAAACTACAAAACAATTCGTGCACAAAAAAAAACAATTAAATAAGTGGATAAAACAGAGCTCTACTATTCGTGCTGCGTGTGCATCAGGTCGTGGCAGCCATCAAAACTTGCGTGAACTTGGAGAGGCTACCGTGCTTACGAAGGAGGCTGAAGATGCCATAGTTGGTTGGCTAAACACGCTTCGGAAAGTCGGAGCACCGGTTTTCCGACTCATGCTGCAACTGGAATCAAAAGAGGTTGCCGATGAAATCGTCCTCGGTGAAAAATTTGCTGCAACCGCTACGTGGATACAGTTATTTCTACGTCGACACACACTTTCACTCCGTGCACGCACTAGACAAGGGCAAACAACGCCGCAAGACGCCCTTGATGCGGCGAAGGAGTTCAAAACACTGGTATTGCAGACAATATTCGAGAATAAATGCGTCCAAGTGTACAACGCGGACCAAACGGGTGCGTATTTGCAAGTCAAATTATTAATTTGGAACACCTAATACTTTCTATGATCTTTTGTAGGCATCAACTTTGAATACCTCCCTAAAAAACAATTTCCAAGCGCGTGGTTAAGACAGTGTGGGTGAGGCGTGGCAATAAAGAGAAGGCAAGGGCGACAGCCATTCTGTTAGCCGACTGGAAAGGAACTGAATGGCCCCGTTCCTTATATTTAAGTGTGCGTCTTCAAAGATTCCTGAAACGCGACTAGAGAACGCAACATTGCAACATGGATTCAGTAAAACTATGTGGAATCGTGAAATTCGCAAATTACAAGAGCAAGTTGACTGTTAAGTCTATGGAAACCAGTGTGCTTGGTGGAACGCAGAATTGTAAAAAAAAAATATTCTCGAATTTCATTTCGCTATGCAGCTCAATTTAATGTTGTCCTCCTCAAAGTACCACCAAGGTACACATATGTCTGCCAACCGGCAGACATATCGTGGAACAAGCAAGCCTCTGAAAGCAGGGCTCCGTGCGTTATGGATGAATCGGCTTAGAAGTCAACTTGCAGAGTACCGTGACGGAGAAAAAAAACGCCAAAGCAAGCGAGACCACTACAGGAAAACAATAGTCGTGCACGCAACGAACTGGTCCACGAGGAAGCAGATATTGAAGTGGATCGGCTTCAGGAAATGCATACTGAAGGACCCTTTGAACTGAAGCCCCCTACATGAGCTGATACTACTGAGTGGACGTCACAATGTTGGACGGGACTGTCGAAGTAGACAATAGTTAGTGGATTTGCTAAGGCTGGCATATTGGGCGATACACGACAGGTCGGAGATATTAGTGGCTGAGAAATCGAGCGGTTCAAGAGTGATATTGTCGAAGATTTAGAAAAATGCAATCTCGCTGACGGCCAAGTCGACTCGGACGATGATATCGCCGAATTCAGACGTAAACAAGGATAGTAATAGTGGTAGCGATAAATCGTAGCTGTGGCCACCCGTGATTCGCATGTACGTGATACAAATCACTTGGGAGATCATTTGCTATTGAAGTGACCCCTAAGACGACGATTATACGGTAAACTACCGTTAAACTGCATATTCGGAGGAGAATGAACCAACTCGGGCAACATAACGCACCTGGACATAAATAACCATACGCTGTACACACTCGAGTCACTTGCGTCAGATTATACATTTTGTAGATATTTCAATTTCCAAAATATGGAGGTAGAAGCTTCCCATACAAAGTCCCATGCAATCGGTTGGATTGTCGCCTCCAGCAACTCACACAAGCAACTGATGCGCTTGCAGCAGATCGCCACACCTATAGTCAATCCAAATAACAAAAATCATATGGTGGAAGAGCCGGGATGAGTGAGTACATTGCGAAGTGAGCAAGCAACATGACATGGTTGACGCTCGATCACAACCGACCGTTTGTCATTTAAGTTGCGTATATTCAGTTTTAGCTACATAGGTTCATTAACCATATGCACATATATACAGTTCAACAGCTAGTTGTCCGTCTTTGGATATTTTGTTCATACTAGCCGGAGCAAGTGGTGTCAGAGGCGCAGCAGGCGTTCCAGGCATCGAAGGTGCTCTATCAGCCGCATCAACGGCTCGACGCATTTTGATACTATTGTTTCAGTATCGACAGGAATCAGCTAGCCTTTCATCCGCTCGCGATGTCAAATATCCCAGCAAGGCATTGCTACTCCACGGATCTGACGGGCGGCTTCTTGCACTGGAAACCGGTCCTGCCTCGCTGCACGCCATATAAGAAGGCTGCCGTTGTCGCACACTTGCGTCGTGCACGAAGGAGAGAGCAGACCTAGCTTGCACGCTGTTGGCGATTTGATTGTGTTGATTTGTCGCGCCACCGTCGAGTTGCTGCGGAGCATGAGTTACGTGACCAACACCGACTGGTGCTACCGCAGGAACATTGCGTTCTGGGTTTTAGATGTACACCATAAGTGTTGCACTCATATATGTACGACACTAGTAGCTGGTAGGGATGTAAGTGTAGCTCATTCAGGTATTTGACGTGACTCAAAGCGCGAGACGTCTGTTCTTGTGGTAGGCCTTGTGCACGATATAGCCGTTCACTATTGCTAGGTCAATCCGCCCCAACACGAGTGGATTGTAGTATTTTCGGAATCGGTCCACTCGTTGTATCGAGTACCGCATCAAGCACAGCTGGTCATGCACATCCACGCCTCCAAGACGACCTGGTACTCTTTCACGATTCGTGGGCAAGAAATTCCGACTTGATCTGCTCAATCATGGCGCGATGCACGGTCAGTTGTGAGACTACCTCCCGCGCACAAACTGTGTGCAGGGCGCGAGTCCCACCTGTTGTCATGTTGGGTAATTGCTTTGCTCTGGCAATCTTCCATGAATCAATGGTAGCCGGTCTCGACTTCTTTTTCTCAACGACGCTTTTAGGAAGGCCAACCGGTTGGTCACAGTAGGTTCAACTAAATAGAAACCCATAAGTAGCAATTGTATCGCTAGAGCTCAACCGTGTAGAAGAGATACACAATCACAAGTCTCATACCTTATTTTCAAGCTTCTGGACCGAAAACAGCAATTAAAACTCGTATGACGGTTGCTGCGCCTGATTTAATGTCCGTCTTGTGCGCGCGTCACTTAAGTGCTCCTTCTTATCTTAATATACTTCGAACCTGCATAACTGGAACGTTTTAGTCAGGATAATACAACATAAGAAATACTCCACCCCAGAAACACCTTACCTAATGCAGTACGAGATCACCACACTGCGCAGCACGAAGAGGTTGTGCACCATGGGTGTGTGTGTGTGTGTGTGTGTGTGTGTGTGTGTGTGTGTGTGTGTGTGTGTGTGTGTGTGTGTGTGTGTGTGTGTGTGTGT